TTTGTGTCCAGTTGGAACATATCAAGAACAAGAAGGAGGACAAGAGTGTAAAAAATGTTTTGCAGGAACATACCAAAATGAAACAGGTTCAACGTATTGTAAAGAGTGTGACATTGGGACATATGCAGATTATGATGGAATCACTAGATGTAAATATTGTTTACTAGGAACATACCAAAATTTAAAAGGTCAAAAAAATTGTAAAAGTTGTGGTGATGGAACATATCAAGATGGAATTGGAGCGAGTTCATGTTTAATGTGTCCAATAGGAACATATTCAAAAGGAGAAAAAAATACTTATTGTAAACAATGTGATGGAGGGTATTATCAAAATTTGAGTGGACAAAATTTTTGTAAACAATGTGATCCTGGATATTATCAACCAATGAGTGGTCAAAGTTATTGTCTTTTTTGTGAAGACACATCTGATAAAAATAGAGTGTCATGTATTAAATGTCAGCCTGGATATTCTATTAATAAAGACAAAACTAAATGTATGTTATCAAAAACTAATATAATAATTATTGTTAGTATCAGTTGTATAGTAATAATATTGTCTTCGTTAATAGCTGTATTCATTATTTCTTATTTAGTTTCATTAAAACGTGAAAAATTATCAAAAAAAATTAAAAATAAACGAAGTACTGTAAACAATGAATTACTAAAAGTGTATTTAAATTAAGTAAATTAGTTGTTCTAATTACCATATTATTTTTTTTTATTGAAACTTTTTCATTCATTATTTAATAGTTTTTAAAAATAATTAAAATAAATAGTATTTATTATTCTTTGTTTATTTTAAGAAATATTATTTATTTCTTTTACTACCTTAATTTATAATACAATTTTATAGAATTTCTGTTATTAATTAATTTTTTACTGTTGTTTATATTATATTGTTTAAAGAAAACATCTACTGATTTATTTTTTTATAATCAGTTCATTAACTAAGATTTATAAAAATTATAAATTTATCTAATATGTACTAATTCATTTTGTTAAAGAAATTTTTTATAACTTATTTGATAAAATGCTCAAGATGATATATTTCTTTTAAATTAATACTATCTATCAAATTGCCTTTCAACAGAGGAAAAATCTATTTAGTTTATTATATTTTTAATTCTCTTAAATGATTGATAATTTCGTTAAACATAACAAAATATTAAAAAGTTTCTTATATTCCAATCAGTTAGTTGTTTTATCATTCTCATAAAAAGATTTTTTTTTTCATAAAATCAAATGGTTTTTAATAATTTTCTTTAAGAAAAGATTTTTTTTAACTATTACATATTTAATACATTATTTATTTAATTTAATAAATAAATAAAAAACATATAAAGAAAAAAGTAATTCAAATAAAATGTTCAATGGTTTGTTATCGTGAAAATGATTAGTTATAAAAAATTAAGAAAGAATAACAAATTTGAAATAAAAAGAAGAAAAGATTAAAAAGTAAAAATGAAGAATAATAAAAAGAAATGAAGAATAAGTTTTTAATACAAACTGAATAAAAAAAATTAAAAATTAAAAAAAAACAACCCTTAAAATGAAAATTTAATAAAAATATAATAGAACTTTTAAAAAATTATAGTCAAATGAATCCACCTTATACTAATCCTTTTGGATATTCTGCAGTAAATTATGGTACATTAAGCCCTACATACCATCAACAATCATTACAACAACTTCAACCAATTTCTTCAAATCAATCAGAAACATATCGTGATTATCATATTTCTCAACACCAAACACAACAAGATTCTCGATTATTCACACACCGCCCTATAACATCTTCTCCTAATATTTATACATCACCAGTGAGATATGCAAAATTATCATCAGAACATGAACCTTCACCATTTCCTTCTTCAATTGATAGAATTAGACACTCATCGTTATCTTCTCCTCAGCAACAATATCATTATCAAAGAACATCACCACCTCCTCCAATTATGACAGTACGAAGAGATCCATTAGATTATGTATCAGATCAACGATCACTCTATTTATATAGAGATAATATAAGACCAATTTCTCCAGACCCTTATTTTCCTTATTCATCATTTGAAAGAACAATTTATAAACAACGAGTTGATTCACCTGATTTCTCATTAAAACAAGAATATGATATTTATCCATATCAATCATCAAAACCTATACGAACAAATATGTCAGAAGATAACGAACCAAGATCATTTTCTGTTCCTATTAAAAACGTTCAAAAAGTTATTCCAGAAAAAGAATTTCTAGTCACAGAAGAATATACAGGTGAAAGAGAATTTGAAACAATGAATGAGGCAATCACTGTATTAACTTCTTGGGCTGAAACACAACATGTTGTATTGAGGAAAGGAAGTGGTAATAACAAAACACTGAAGGATGGAACGAAAAAGAAAATTGTTTTAGTATGTCAGTGTAGTGGCAAATATAGAAGTTGTTCATATTCTCCAAGAGGTGGGTCTTCTGCCTCTAATTCAAGTTGTGAAGAAGGACAACCAACAACTTCTACTCCACAACGAACAGTCAAAAAAAGAAGGTCAAAGAAAACTGAATGTCCTTTTAGAATTAATTTGAATTATAGGGCTAATACTAACACTTGGAATATTACTAAAATGATACTTGAACACAACCACGAATAACAAATGTATTTCTTATTATTGTAAATCCATTTATTTCTTTTTCATTGATTCTTCTCTTACATGTCTTATTTTTACTCTATTTTTTTGTCTTTATTAAGAAAATTTGGAATGTTAAAATTTTTTAATAAAATTATTTTTTTCATGTAAATAATTTGAGAGAATAGAACAACAAAATCCTTATTAAGATTATTTTTGATAATAATTAAATTAAAAATAGTAATGGGAGTTAAATAACAATAATAATTATTAATTTAAAGGATAATCTTATAATTATTAATTAACAGAAATGAGTGAAGATAATGAACAATCTGGATCATTGGTAAGTGATCAATCTCAAGATTTATCTAGTCAAGACTCAAAAAGCTCTTCTGAAGAACTTGGAAGATTAGAACTCTTTAGTACTGATGATTTTGATCCAATGACTATGATGACTACGAACTTACAGTTATTTACCACACACGATATGTGATCTTTTTGAGCAATGAAAGA